CAAATTTTTTTATAATTTATTTCAAGTATTCTTGATCAGTAAACATTATATAAACGTTCATTGTATGTATTTATGAGTATAAAAATATTTCATTTCTCGGCATTTAACTTCATTTAATATGCTTTATGTGGCTTAGTAGAATTCTCCATAGTGTGATGTATGTATGTATGTTTGTACGTAGGTGCCTCTGCCAAACCTCAACAAAGCCACCTCACCAACAACGCGTCATGAATTGAAATCGAGAAGAAGTCGATTGGGGATTTGCATTTGTGCCGACAAATAAATATCAACAATTTCATGAGCCTGGGTGTTTGATGGCACGAGTGCAAAGCTCTCACGCACATAAATATACACATTTTTATCAAAAACTGAAAAGCATTTAAATTTTATTTTATTTTTTTTTTACTGTTATGTTGTATGTGAGTTGATAAATATAAAGTCCTAAAGGAATTTCGAAGAGGATTTTCCAGTTTTGAAAATCAGTAAATGAAACACAAACAAAAATACCAAAGAAAGCAAAGGAAATCATTTCAATTCGACTATTTGCATGTATGAATGCGCATTTTATCTATTTTGCATAGCTAGTAGAGCGTATTGGGTATTTTTGTATGCAATACATTGGAATCTTGCTGACAAATACTCCCATTGCGCCAGGCAGCTGTGGTGAGGCAGTAAGTAGCAACATAGTCTGGGCCTAAGACTTCATTATTTTGCAAGCAAAGTGTAATCAAACTGTCAACATGGCCAAAACGGACGCAAACGCTCTAGCACGCAAAAACAAAGGCGCACATTTGTATACCCATATATGTAGGTGTGTACATTAGGGTGGTCCTAAAATATGAATGTAAAAAAGTAAATTCAGAATTTTAAAGCTCTCACCCTCTAGGATTCTTGTATACCAAAAAAATAATACCCCTGTTTCTTTATTTTGAAATCAAATACGTTAATATTAGTAAAAAATATATATATTTTTAACACAAGCTTTCTAAACATGAACGATATCGGACCATAAATACTGGGTTTCAAATATCTCGACTGCTGCGCCACCTATCGGAGTAATTCATATTTCGTATTGCATTTTCATCGGGTTCTTAGCCAATTGTGAAGTTTCAAGTCTCTGTGTCATCGGGAAGTTGGTAAAAAATGTATTTCAAGATTTGCCCCTAACAAACATACATACATATAGAGTAAGTTAAATAAAAGCTTATAAAAATATGTAGAGTTCACTCAAAGCGCTCAAAGTTGTCCATGTATTTTATATGGGAAAAACAAGTTTTTGTGGAAATGGTATAGAACTCTTCGATCTTTTAAATTTTTTTTGTAACTTATTTTTCCACTTTTTTCCATGTAAACATCAATTCCCTGTGAAATAAAACGCGTGAGATCGTTAGCAACAAAATTTCAAAAAATCAACGCCAGTTTCGATGAATTGCCCTTGTACTAAAAAAAAAACAAAAAAACGGAAAAAGTTGTCTCCAAAA